TTATGACAGTTTTAAGTAATTTAGTAGTGCTTGTATTAGTAAAGTCAACTGTTTGCGCATACGATATAAAATTGTCTTTGATCGGGGTGATAAACGATTAGAGTAGGTAAATAGGTACCTATTTAGTGCCTATATAATAGTTGTAACAAGAGACAGATTGGCTACACACTGTCAGCAGGTAAGTAATTATATATGATTTTCTTTATTCAAGTAGGTATATCGGATTTTCAGCGAGCATAATATACCCTATTTTATAGCAGACGTTAAATTGACATTCCACTCAATGGTTAAAAAATCCCTTTATCGTTGATAAATTAATAATACGTTACGATGAAATGCCCATTATTTTAGTATTTTTTGTTTACACTGCTTTTTCAGATTCAATGGACAGAACACAAGGGTCTCGCGGAAACAAGCTGGTCATGTTGGCGCTGAACAAGAAAACTAAACAAACGTTCCAACCCGCGGTAAAAATTAAAAACCGTGAGACGTCGGAAGATTTAGATTATTATCCCACTGACACTAGTTCGCAAAATAATGATAGTGATAGCGACACGACAAGTGAGTGCAAGGAAGAAAATAAAAATTGTTCTTCTAATTTAGTTGTGAAAAGTAGCGCTGGTCATGGAGTTATTAACGACATTAACTCAGGGAATTCTCTGACGGAAATCTCACCTGTCACACGCATACCCTCGAGAAGTCCAGTCCTTCTCGATATTTCTAGCTCTATTGTGCCAGTTCACTTTGATACTCCCGAAGTAGAGGACTCACGCTCTTTTATGACAGAAGTAAGAAATTCTGAGTTAGAGACAGTCACTGAATTATTTGAATCAACACGCTCTTTTATGACAGAAGTAAGAAATTCTGAGTTAGAGACAGTCACTGAATTATTTGAATCAATTACGGAAGCAGTCGAGCCACCAGTTCAAGGCGAGGTTGTTGTAGCGGATCCTGACGATTTCGTAGATATCGACGGCGCTGGAGTAAGTAATAACGCATCTGTGGTCCAATACACTAAAAAGGGAACAGTTCGAAAAAGAAAAAAGTTCGAGTTGTCAGTGAGTTCAAGAAAAAAAGCTAAGCATGAATCACTTGCAAAAAAGCACTGCGTTAAAGATAGTTGTGGGAAAGATTGTTTAAAAAAATGCGTGTCAAAGATATCAGAAGAGAGAAAACAATTTCTGAATAGCGAATTTTGGAAAATGTCAAACGATAAAGACCGAAAATCTTTTATTTTACATCATATTTCATCAAGACCAGTGAAACAGAGAACAACCTTACAAAGTGATCTTGGTTATCAAAGAAATATCACTTATAACTATGCACTGAAAAATGAAAATGGAACATCTCAAAATGTATGCAAAACTTTTTTTCTCGCAACTCTAGGTTTTAATAAACAAAGTGACAAAGTTATCCGCACAGCTTTACGTAATGCTAACAATTCTGTAGTGCCTGTGCCTGACTTGAGATGCAGGAAGCAACCGCACAATAAAATAGACGATGAAGTGATCCGTAATCATATTGTATCTTACAACCCCACTATCTCACACTACCGGAGAGAACATGCACCCCAACGTCTTTATCTTCCTAGTGACCTTACTTTTGCTGCATTACATCAGGATTTCCTAACCAAACATCCAGACCTAAAAATTTCCTATGAAAAGTACCGTGTAGTAGCTAAGAAAATGAACATATCGCTAGCAAATCTAGGACACGAAGAATGTGAAAGTTGTGAAGGGTTTTCTCTACATGATAAAAGTCACACAAAAGACAATCTAGAAGAAACTTGTGATGTTTGTAGAACTTGGAAAAAACATATAGACAGAGCAACAAAGTCGCGTGAACACTACAGAGATGATGGTAAACAACCAGAAGAAGCCGGTAAGGTTATGTACTGCGCCGACCTGGAAAAAGTTATTATGCTACCAAGACTGGAAACGTTTAAAACAGCAATTTTCACAAGCAGAATTACAGTTTACAATGAGAGCTTTGTACCAATTGGCAAAAAAAAGAATAGCAAAACGTTTGCCGCTGTTTGGCACGACGCTTTATTTAAACGCAGTAAAGATGAAATAATAAGCGCATTTTACCAATTTGTCCTTATGAAAAGAGACGCTGTCAAAATAACATTGTGGCTTGATAATTGCTCTGCGCAAAATAAGAACTGGTCATTCTTCTCATTTTTGCTCTACATTGTTAATTCGGATGAAATTAATGCTAATGAAATTGTTATAAAATATTTCGAGCCCGGCCATACATTTATGGCCGCAGATTCTTTTCACCACAAAGTCGAGCTGTCGATGAAAAAGATGGGCAACAAACTATACGATTTTGGAGATTTTGTTCAAGCCGTAAAACAAGCCTCACGGCAAACTGAAGTTCTACCAATGGAATTACAGCATTTTTTTATTTGGGAGGATTACACTTCGCAATATAAACTTAGTCGAATTAACCCCCGGCCCTATCTAAATGAAATAGTCCAAGTATCAGTCCATAGAGGTTCCCTTATTATGACATACCAAAATGACTTTGACGCTCCGATAATTGAACTTGATTTTCTCAGTGCCAAAATTACGAAGAATAAAAAACTGCCTCCTCCAAAAAAACAACAAAAAGTTCTAGGAATTCCATCCAAAAAAAAAGCAGCAATAATAAAAAATCTAGGTGCAATAATGAAGAACAGGCTTCAGTTTTGGAATGAGCTTCCAGTTTCACAAGACGAGGACTCTAACTAACATTTGTGTCATTATTTGCTTTCATCTAATATGTTAAAGTTCATTTACTCTCAATTTAAATCTTTGTGTAAAAAGTATGTAATAAACTTGCATTACTCTTCTAGACGTATCTCAGATTTGTAGGAAAATCCTAAGCCTAACAGGCGCATCTCATTTTTTAATTAAAATATTACTGTCTAAAAAAAAAGTTTGTCAAATTTGTTCATAATTCATACACATCACTACAAACAACTGTTGAAAAAATCACAAAAAATACAAAATGAGAGTGCTGTAACAAAAATCAGATAAATCGCAATAACTCAAAAAGTTGAAATATTTAGATGCGTCTTTTTGGCTTAGGACGGCAGTATACTTCGCACTGTAAACCCAGGAAATTATTGCCATTTTGGTATCGAAGATGGTATATTACGTATACTACAGTTAGATTACAGTATTTTTAAATTTTCTTCTATCCAGTTACAAATTGGTATAGATGGTTTACCTCTCTCAGAGTCGAATAATAGCCAATTGTAGCCAATTTTAGGATGTATTTATCCATCAACTCGAGTGTTCTTGATTGGTGCATACCATGGGCATGCAAAACCAAACGATGCTAATGAATACCTCCTTGATTTTGTATCTGAAATAAATGATTTGATTGAGAAGGGAATCACCTTTGATAATGCACATTTTAGTGTATCTTTACATTCGTTAATTTGTGATGCCCCTGCAAAATCCTTTGTAGCTAAAATAAAGGGTCACACAGGTTACTTTAGCTGCACTGCACAAAGTGTGTGCAAGAGGGTACCTATATTGAAAACCGAATGTGTTTTCCAGAAACAGTATTCACGAAACGAACACATGATGGGTTTCTGTCTGAGCAACAAGAGGAACATCACGTGGGAACAACAATATTAACACATATAAAAAATTTTGATCTAATCACCAATGTACCTCTGGAGTACATGCACTTAGTATGTAAAGAAAATTGTTAGCTTGTGGTTAAGTGGGCCTTTAAATGTGCGTCTTCGCCATGCAAAAGTTCATTCGATATCAAATGTTTTGCTTTCTTTGAGACCCTCTGTTACAAAAGAATTTGCAAGGAGACCACAAGAAATACAAAATATCAGTAAGTGGAAGGCTACAGAACTACGTCAATTTTTATTATACACTTGTCCTGTGGTTTTGGAAAAAGGAGTACATAAACAAGTGTATGATCATTTTATATCACTGCATGTAGCTATGCGAATTCTTTGTAAAGATTTTGAAATAAATGCAGTGGGTTATGCAAAAGAACTTTTAAAACACTTTGTGGAAACATTTATTATAATTTATGGTGTAGAATATGTATCCCACAACGTTCACGGTTTACTGCATCTTACAGATGATGTTCAGTATTTGGGACCTCTCGATTCATTCAGTGCCTTTCGTTTTGAAAATTTTATGAGGATATTAAAAGGTTTTTTAAGAAAACATGACAAACCACTTCAACAACTACATAGGAGATATAAAGAAGGCGAATTTGTAAATAAGCAAGAACATTCAGTGGTAGGGCACAACAGCTGTGGCCAAGAAGAAGCATTGCAGAAACAAGTTACGCAATTACAATTTAAGAATTCTTGTCTCAAAAAAAATTTCCAGATAATTGTTGCATCACAAAAGAGAAAGAAGTAATTCTGATTGAGGATATCTGTACTGATGTAAATGCGAGCTGCCCATTATTGGTTGTGAAGAAGTTTCTAAATTTAAGTGATATTTACACTACACCATGTCCATCAAGCTATGTTGATTGTTTTTTTGCTACAGAGTTATCTGAAGCTACATATATGATTCCTGTTAAACATCTCTATGCAAAATGTGTTAGATTTCCCTTTAAGAATGGATTTGCTGTCTTTCCTCTCTATAGTTTAACATTGTAAATATGTATATTTATAATATTTAAGATTTAGTATTTTCTTTAAAACGATTTCGTATGGTACAATTTTGCAGATTTCTCAGATTTAGTCTGTTTAAAAAAATTGATTTACTTCCCAACATATCTTTGGAAATGGATACTAGTCGTTGGAGTGTTGTTGAGTTCGATGATGGAGTTCAGCTAATTCCAAATAATTGGATACATGGGAATAAGAGCTATTGGCCCACATTTAAAAGTAATATACGATTTGAAAAAGCAGTATCTTCGTGTGAGAAACCTGTAGAAACATGGCCTTCATACGACATGCGTGTTTTGGGAGCATATGGTATGTAAGTTTTGTATCATTTAAGTTCTAAAAATTTCCATTTACAGATACATATGAAAAGGCAAAATCTAAATTGAAGTTGGCAGAAGTGCAATCTGACCTCGGCACGGAGAATGAAGAAATGGAAAAGGCAAATCGAAAGATTCGAAAACGGAAAGTCATTGAGTCATCCCCTGAAAAAAGTGAGGAAGAAAGTGACGACTTGGACCATTTAATAAGCGGCATAAAACCATTTCCACAGATGAAACAGATATTGCAATGCAGTCAAAGCGCTCCCACACCACCATCTGCATCTCGATGTGCACCATCTCGTTCCAGATCGTCTACACCAGCTTGTTCTCGATCATCCACACCTCCTAGTTCCATATCTTCTACGCTGATCCATTCCACACAATCTCGTTCTTCACCTTTTGCACAATCGCGCGTACCGTTAAGGTGCACTGCATCTCAAGAGATGGAAGACATATCGGAGCAACTTTCACATGAGACGTTGAGATCGCAGAATATTCATTCATTTGCGGATGATGGTATGAGCATGGTATTGCTTGTAAGCATTGACGTAACAATTTTTTTGCAGAATTTAAAACCAAAGTGCTATCAGAATTATCCTTTATTAAATTAAAACTTTCCAAAATCCAAAAATTCATGGTAATTCAAAAGCAAAACACAACAGAAAACGATAGCAACGAAAATAATGAAGTAGACTTGGACGTAAACAATTTCCCTTTATCAACCGATGAAGACCTAAACAAAATTGAAGAAAAACTGGATAACGAAGAGTATAACAAAAAACTAGTAAGGTGACATTACCTCTTACAAACATTTTTTATGCTTTGTTTATTTCCAGATTGAATACCTCGGCAGAATAGGTGGATATACCTAAGTTAGATGAAATAACCAAACTTATTTTACGACGATTATTTTCGAATGAATTAGCAGCAAAATATAGTTGGTTGGGGGCAAAACAAAAAAAGGCCATGCCAAATCTAAAATTGGCTGCTATTATTTTAAGTAAGACTTCAAGCATATCAGGTCACAGCGGCGGCTCGTAAGCTGCGTAGAAGCTAGTGCCAAATTGTGTCCCCCTCCCCATTATTTTAATAGTTACAAATTTTTATTTTCATATTATTCCAGTTATTTAGATTTTGAGTATAATTCGAATATTTATAATGCAAGTGACAGAAACAAATCTAGCCCTTTAATTTCTTTGGAGACTTGTTTCATAAGTATACTTCAAGTATGCATTCCAGTAATTCATTTTGTGTTGTTTTAGATGAGAATTAGCGGATTTTTTTTGACAAAAAATCGTATGGAAAGTGTTACTTTTTTCACGATTTGTACTATCCGTTTCCATGGCGTTTAGTCCGATCTATAAACAATAGCAACATTTTATTTGCAGTTTTATTAAAGAGGCCGAAGTGTCATTTTCAACAATGAATACCTACTCCTTTATTTTCGGATTTATCGCTATTGTCGTGTCCTCTTAAAGAAGATTCAGACACATTTCGTTTTCTAACAATATTTAAGTCCGGTAACGGCCTGCTTAATTGCTTTATTTAAAGTCTATCTTCCAGAGAATGCATGGAAAAAGGTTTATTTAAATGATTTTTTAATTTGTGTATTTTACGAAACAATTAATCCGGGAAGTGTAATGTTACACAGAAGTAAAAAAATTGTTTGACTTATCACGACTGAAACAAAGAACACGGCGCAAAGCATAGTAATACAAGTACACGATATTCAATTATGCTTATGAGCCAAACTTCTGATGGCTCAAGTTGTACGTTAAACGCTACTTCGGTTTCGCTCCTCCCACCCCTCTACTCCCCGCGGAAGTCCACACTTATAGGAAAATACGAGCCAGTTTCAGTTTGGCACGGCTCGACCGTATTTGACGTCTACGGATAAGCACGAATGAATTCTTCTTGGTACCTAATTTATCAAATCATTTACTTTTTTGGTTTTAAGTTTTAGTGAGCACAATTAATAGTAGTTAATTATATTTTAAGAATTGATAATTAGCAGGTTCTTTGAGGTAGTGCCATGGCTCCTTGGCTCTTTATAGAGAGCCGCCCCTGTCAGGTCATTTTTTAAATCTGTTATTGTTTAAGGTTCTGTTAGAAGAAACAATATTGTAAAAAATGCCAGTGATAAGGATATAATAGAATGTATAAAAAATTGGCTTCGTCATGCCAATACTAGGAGTAGCAATCAGTAAGTTAAATTTTTATTTACCACGGGTGTGAAATATACTCTCAGCCTTATTTTTTGCACTTCCGATTAGGTAAGCTGTACTAGTCAGTTCATACTACCTATTCAGTTGTGACTAGAGCAAAGAGAGTTAACTTACTTCTCCAAGTTGTGAAATTTTATTTTGGAATCTCAGTAAATGCATACGTTTGGCAATTTACCGTATTAAACAAAAGAACTGCAACCCGGGAAATATCGTAGCTTATAACTCCTGTCACACACCTTGGCAATAGAATTTCAGTTTATATAATATAACCTCAATTAGAGCTATATTTTATATTATTATATTTTATAGGTAAATTAATACACATTTTTGTTTTAGGCAGAAGAAAGAAGCAAAATAGATCCTGTGAGGTCGTTTTTCTCATTTATTTTATATATTATTTTCATTATTATAAGTATTTCAGTTAATGTAATAAAGCACTTAGGTATACACTTATAAGAATAGTATTATTAATTACCTCTTCTGGATTTCTTTTTTAAGACTAATGGATATCCACTTAAAATCTAATGGATGTCCATAAAATACTGGATATTGGTCGGACATATGGATATCCACTGAATCTCCATTAAATATCCACAAACATCTAATGTATATCATGGATATCTATAAAAAATATCCACTGGAAGTGCACTAGACGTTTGTGTGCTATGTGGGCAGTAATGGAAGGTTAAAGATGTTAACATTTCCTTCCATATTCATTCTAAATTGCATACTTGATGTACAAGAAAATAGGTCGCTATTTCGTACTAACAATTCGTTTCATAACTATCACACTAGACATGGAAATGACATTGTTATACCCTATCACAGGCTCAAAACCACACAACAACCAACAACCCATCTTGCAATTAAACTTTTTAACAAACTGACATGGGACAGCAAACACTTACCTAATAAAAGATTAAAATTGGAACTAAAGAATTTCTTAATTATAAAGGAAATTCACTAATTAGTCTAACATAAAATCGATCTAAATAAATTATAAAGTTTGTACATAAAGGCCGTCTGACACGATGCTAAATTTTTGGTAAAATTTGTGAATAGAATTTTATCATAAAAAATTTACTTCCATAATTTATTTAACAAAATTATATTGTCTGACACTGTACAAAATTTATCATAAAAATTAGTAAGTGCGTCTGCGCTTTGCATTTTTTTTCTAGGGAATATGGGTTTTTAAGTCAATAAATCTGGTAGTGGTACACCTACACATATAAATAACAAAAATAACATAACCTCTTCTAGTATTTACTTTTTTGATTTTTCATTATTTCATATTATTATCTATTGTGCTACTACTGGTAATTGTAATGAACCGAAATCTAATCGCTAGCTCGGCACTTGCCGCAAGTGTGATTGTCATTATGTCTTGTCTTCTAACAAAAAGGCGTAATAAACGTACTCGAATTTGGAGCAGGAACTGGCTGCAAAGGCGAAACGAGGGTCGTGATGTTTTAAACATGCTAAATACAGAACTTTTACCCGAGGATCCAAATGCATATACAAACTTTCTGAGATTAACTAACGATCAGTTCGAATATTTGCTGTCGTTGATATCAAATGAAATATGCAAACAAGATACACTAATGCGAGAATGCATCCCTTCCAGAAGCAAGTAGGTGATTAAAAAATTAATCATAGGCACTCACTTGTGCTATCATTTTAGATTAGAAGTTACCTTGCGATTCCTAGCAACAGGCGAGACATACCGATCCCTTATGTACACCACTAGGATACATGAAACTACGATAAGCCGCTTTATACCTGAAGTGTGCCAAGCCATAGTCTTGAAATTAAAACCAATCTATTTAAAAGTAAGTTATAGTCCGTATATTATACTGTCAATTTTTACGATATGAAACCTGGTATAGGCACCAAGAACAGCAGAAGAATGGAAAAAAATTTCTCAAGATTTTGATCAATTATGGCAATTTCCTCATTGCGTGGGAGCTCTTGATGGTCGCCACATCACTTTTAGGGCACCCATATCTGCTGGCTCGTATTATTACAACTACAAAGGTGCAAATAGCATTGTGTTATTAGCATTAGCCGCTGCCAACTACAAGTTCATTTACGCAAATATAGGTGTCAATGGACGAATTAGTGATGGGGGTGTTTTTCAGAATAGTAGCTTGTCAAGGGCACTACAAGACAATTCTTTGAGTCTACCAGCCCCAGAGGTATTACCAGGAATGACAGAAGCTTTACCGTATGTTATTGTTGCCGATGATGCCTTTCCGCTGTCAAAGAACCTATTGAAACCCTATCCAGATCGTGGACTCGGCAATGATAGCAGAATTTTTAATTATCGGTTATCCCGTGCTCGGAGAATAATAGAGAATTCCTTTGGAATTCTTGCAAACCGATTTCGTCTTCTGTTAAATCCAATTAATTTAGATGCAGAAAAAGTAGAGTTGATTACACTCACTTGTGTAGTGTTACACAATTTTCTCGCAACAGACAATGCACAATCATATATTGAACTTGAAGAATTTAATGAAAACTTGCCGAAAATAAATCGACAGTGTGGTAACCGGACATCTATTGCAGCAAGAGATATTCGTGATCATTTTAGAAGTTATTTTAATTCTTCACAAGGTTCGGTGCCCTGGCAACAAAATGCAATAAACAATTTTAATTTGTGAAATTCGTTTTTATTTTACATATGCCTATTATTAACAATAAATACTACAAATTGTTACATTTTTTTAGGGCATCAAACAGTGTGTGTACAATTTTTTCTTCTGTCTGCAAACGAATGGATGTATCAGTAATTCGTTTTAACTTCGACACTATAAATTGAGCCAATGCCTCATCTTCATCTACGTTTTGTACAAAACTTTGCTGCATTGTTGATGAAATTGATGCTAAGGCACTAGATGCTTCACGCATTACATTATCTTCAATTGTTTCTCGTTTTCTTTTCTTTTGAAATTGCAGTCGTTTTGATGGAGTAGCACCATCTACGTCTTTTACCGGTGAAATAGGACGAGAAAGATTTGGTGAATTCAATTGGGAGTCGCGAACTTGACTCGATCCCGTGTCCAATGTATTAGTAATATCGTTGAGACTACCATCTTCTGTCACATAGTACTCTGATGTTACTATCTCCTCGTCGCCTACCTGCGGTGTGTCATCTTCTGCGATTAAGCTATCCACGGCCTGCCGCACTTCGACATGTTCTAACAAAAAGAACATTCGGTTGAAATACCAAATTGTTGGTTTGTAAATCTGCAGGAAAAATGTATAGTTAGTCAATAAATTAGATAATATTGAAGGTTTTGCTTACCCCGTCACCATCTTCATCACCTGCTCCACTACGGCGGCTGCGATTCCACTTCTTGTATTCTGTGAGAAAATTATTCTTCAGTCCGTTAAATTTTAACTTGATATCGTTGATGGTAACAGACGGCTTAAGGGGTTGCAAGACTGCTTGAATTTGCTGTAAAGCATTCTGTCTAGAATGTTTATTTTTATACTGTGCAGATTTTACTGCATATAAACATGCATGTCTTTGATATTCATCTATCAGCACTTCACATTGCTCCCGCGACCATGACATTGTGCAAATTCGTAATTTAGCACTAAATAAACCGCTCTCGTTCTTTCGCAAAAACGCCCAAAATGAGAATAATTGAAATTAAATTAGATAGGTTATGTGATATGTCACCTACGAAACGCCGAACCGCGTGCGCATCACGTACGCGCACATTTTATAACAAATTTATGCATTTTTTAGAACAGGATCTAAAAAATTTTATACAAACAAATTTTGTAACAAATTTTTGTACAAAATACGTATGACACTATGCAAAATTTTGTATGAAAATTAATCTGCAAAATTTTGTACAAAATTTAGCATAGTGTCAGACGGCCTTAAGGTTTCACAATGGATACAATTTTATAAATCAAGTAATAAAAATTAGGTTTTTTGACGTGCTAAAACAATTCCCGTGTATGAAAGTCAATAAATTATTATTATTATTTAACAGAATCACAACAAATTATGCACAGATTGAGAAGGAGGCTTTGGCAATTGTATTTGGATGCCACTAAGTTTAAGTTAAATGGCTAAACATGCAAAGTAGGCGCAAGTTACATACACTCTTTATACCACCAAATTATTATACACAAAAACGCAGTTACTGGCACGAAAGGATTAGATATTGTACAGATATTCATAATAGGGAATAGGGGAATAAAAGGGAAACATAGACCAACACAAGATACGAAGAATCGTATACGATTTTCAGTAGGGGAATTTCTTGTCAGTCAGCTCACAGTCGGAAACCAGACTTTTTAATCCAGCTCATATTCAATAGCGCTGATTGTTGAACTCGTAGAAATCAATGGAGAAAGTTTGACATCGCTGTCTCTTGTCGTTCTCGAGTTAGGCGAGGAACAGACGGACAAAACCTTCAGATAAGGCGAATTTTTTTGCTTTCGAAAAATTCCCCTAAAACGAATGGGTAATAAATAACTATACAACATGACTTCAACATGGTTTGTGTAGTCTTGTATTTGCGGTCTTTCTTATCTAGCATACTTTTCAAGGCCATGTCGATGGTAAACGGATACATACCCGACAGTTTTAGTGGTTCGAAAAAAATAAAGCCGTTCTTTACCACCTGCATATCTTCGCGTTGCAGCCAAATATAACTGTCGAGATCAAGTTCCAACAATTTCAATTTGATTTGAATTGGTTCGTTTCGAGAATTCTCCCAATATTAAACACATGCAATCATGATGGACAACAGCATATATTGTTGCAGTTGAAATACGGTAACGTGATTTGCGGCATCACTGTCTAGATCCGAAAATGTTTCGGTATCATCAATCACTATTAGGGTTGCCACCTTTGATTTAGCCACGACCTGCAGTAAAATGTGAAAGCAAAATTTTCAGTGAAAGATTGAGGCGTATAAGATTGATAAGATTAAAGTTTGTTTATTTAGCATTATTTACATTATTATGCAGGAACATTACTTTTTATAGAACTTAAGGGTGTATTCCACTTAAAATTTATTTTTGATTGACGTATGATGGGTTGCATAATACTTACTTGTAATGAAATCGAAACGAATAAACAAAGATTGAAGAATTTACCTGCCCATCAACAAGTATTTACGCTAATTTACCTAGGTCATTAGCCATTGTGAGGAATATGCATATATAATTAAACATCGATTAGAAAACGCAAATCATTGTCACAGCGGCTAATCCTCAATAATTTCACTTTTCCAAGTTATTCATAAGACGTATATATTTTTTTAAACCCAGTATAGTTACTTCATGATCATGAACTATATTGACTCTCCCTATCTGGAAAATAACGCATGTAAGCGAATAAGTACCTACAATTAGATATATTTAAAAAATGCATATCCAAATCCCAAACATTTATTAGTAGGGGTTTTTCAAAATTTCGTCTATTCGGGAACAACACACAATAAATGAGGACTAACGCTTTTTTTGCAAACTATGTCTCTTTCCGAAGGATGCTACAGGGAAATAATCTCAAATTTGTATCAAATTAAAATTTTAGGGGTGTTTCAAAATTTCGTCTAATTCGGGAACAACACAAAATAAATGAGAACTAACGCTTTTTTCGCAAACTATATCTTTTTCCGAAAGATGCTACATGAGAATAATCTCAAATTTTGATCACACTAAAATATTAGGGGTGTTACAAAAAAACGCCAGAAAAGACGTAAACTTTTAATTCACCCAAAAATAAATCACATTTTCCGTGTGAATTCTATTACCCAGTATATTATGGAATTATAATACGTTCTAATGAATCCGGTTTCTATTTGTAAATCAGTCCCGATAAACGCAACAATGCCGCTATAATGAAGTCAGGTCTGCCGTATGATGTGTTGCCTATTGTACATTTATAAATGGTGAATGACTTCACTAAACGCTACAAGTTTTCGTAAAAAATTTCGAATGAATATTTCGTCTAAAATTTTTTGTAATTTATTTGAAAGTCTGGTCGATGGCTCTATGGTTTGCTAATGTTTTTTCTGAGTATGCTACAGGGAGATTTTTAAAATAATTTGTGTTGACGCCATTTTACCTATAAAAGTTCACTTTTTATTGGCAGTGCTCTAAAAAATAGTTTTTTCTTAAATATTAAAATTTTGTTCTGTAGCATACTTTTTAAATGTATAATTTACACGAAAAAAATTAGCCCCGTCTTTCATCTCATGTTTTACAGAATTGAGACGAAATATAAATCGCACTATTTTCGCATAAATGTTGTAGTACTGGATTACACCCTTAAATCTACATTTATTATTGCCTTGACACGCATCCAGTAGTGCATTTTGCTCTTTTTTTCCAAAAATTCGGCAAATTGTTGACGAGATATACTAAAATTCAATTTTACACACAATTCTGCCTTAACTAACTCCACTCTCATTCTGTTTCTTTCATTTGTCCAGAGATTACCCATCAAAGAGAAGATTTTTTCAGGAAATGCGTTGCTCACAGGGATGGATAAAATTTTACCGACTATTTTCAGCAGATTGGGCAGATTGGATGTTTCCTGATATTTCCTTTATTTCTTTTTCAGATTCAGACAATCAAAGTACTGGAAGGGGCTATTTTGGAAATCATAATACTTATCCAAATAATCAAGGAGTTTCTTGTAAACCAAATTCGCCTCCTTCATAAAAATCTGTTTCTGGTTCGCTGGGAGATATTTCAAAGCATATGACACTTTACCCCAAAGAATTGATCATTTTGTTTTTGGATTATTTGTTCCTTCAGATCGGACATAATTTCATGCAGTCGGTGCTGGTTAATCTATTACTCTCCAGTTTAACTATATGCGTATTCAAAATATTAATATAGTGATGTGATGGACGAAATAAATGTAACTCTGAAAGTGGGATTTCGGATCTTAAATCGTCTTCCAATTCATGCTCTTGGCTTTTAATGAATTTCCAGACATTTTTGTCACAGTTGTCTTCACCAAGATCAAGAAATTTCTTGACGGCTGGCCAACATCGCAGAAGTCGATCAAGAGATGAATATAGGGAGAGCCACCTTGTAGTTACATGTCTCAACATTTTTTGATAGTGAATTTCTAGATATTCAAAGCAAGTGTTGGTGCTGGTGGAAGTGTCATGATGGGTCCAAATTCAGTATCCTCAACCTTCCATTCCATCCATATTCGTTTGGATATAGTACATCAGGATTGGGAACAGTTTCATTATTCCAAACCCAACATTGATGGTGTGCGCGTAAAATGCCTTGTGTGAGTGCTCCTTTTGATGGTGCTGGCAAATTGGCAGCCTTTCTTATTGGACATCCGCCACCGGAGTTCGGAAACAGAATTTGCTTTTGACAAAGGAGAGTACGGTTTACAAACGAACTTTTCTAGAGCAATAACAACTGATTCGAGAAGATGAATAGTCGTACCTAACTCAGACAATGCTGCCAGTGTTTCAGTGTGGGCGATTTCAAATGATTTCCAACAAGTTAACTTGCCTTTTCCGACAAATCCTCCAGTGTTGTCTGCTCCAGTAAATGCATGAGAAGAGTAGCCTTGTCAGAACCAACAGCTTTATGTAGGATGCCAACATCAATAGTACTGCATTTATTTCGTCTTCTAGCGACGAAAAACGTTCTTGGGCACAGTCTAGGGGTCTAGGTTG